AAATATGCAACAGAAGACTTAAGTTAACATTTAACTAGGTCATGCAATTTCACGGAGAGTATTTTGATATGAAATTCTTCAATACGGACATTTTTATTTATTTTTTTTTATATTTTTGTTGCATATAACCTGCTTTCTCATTAATAAGTAAAACCAACTAATTACTGTGAGAGATTTTTGAAAAATATGTACCTTTGAGGAATAGGAAAAAACTTTATTTAGTTCTGTCAACTAATGCTCGCTACGAGAGTACAATAATCTAGTAAAGACAATTACAGTTCTTCTACGAACTAGTGTAATTTATATACACTGAAGAGCCAAAACATTATGACCACCTACTCAACGCGTTGCTCGACCTTTGGCCTGCAAAACCGCTGCGCCTTATCATGGATGACAGAATCTTGACAAATAACTGGCGACAGGTTTTACGAAATATCTAAGCAGCGGTGACCGCAAAGTCAAGATATTCCGACATAGAGGTGTTTGAGCTCTAAGCTGCTTCTCCATTACATCCCAAATGTGCTCTATTACGTTAAGATCCTATGGATTATGTGTCCAGGACACTGATTGGAATTCATTCTTATGCTCCTCGAAACAATTCGAGCCTTGTGGCATGGGACGTTGGCCTATTAGAAGTTTCCATTTTCAGTTGGAAAGACAGACGCCATGCAAGGGTGCGAATGATCTGGACAGTCCACAGCTTTCATCGTCTGTTCTACCACAACTAAGGGTCCCAGAGCTACCCATGAGAATGTCACCCAAAGTATAATACCGCCACCACCAGCCTATGCATGAACTGCTGTACAGGTGGGAGCAAATGTTTGCCTGAAAGACGGTATACCCTGCCATGACCATCGACCTGATGAATGAGGCATCTTGATTCATCCGGCCAGGCAACTGTCTTCCACTTATCCATGGTCCAGTCTAGATATTTTACTGTAAGCGTCGTTGACAATGACGCTTGGTCAACAGAAACACACGAGTGGAGCATCTGCTACATAGTCCCATATCAAAGAGTGTCCGCTGAACTTTGTGTTCCAAAACACTTACACGTGGACCTGAAATGCCTTGGGCTGTCAGCTAAGCCACGGTCTTTTATAGTACCAAGTGGGACAGTCACCCACGTGCTTTTTCTTTGATGACGCGTGGACATAAAACACCTTGGCGTCCATTTATGGTTTCACTTCATTTATCCACTTTGCATAAATACTGACAACGGCAGACCGTGAAAAACCTACTAGCCGTGCAGTTTCGGAAATATTCGTCTCGAATGTTTGGGCCATTAAAATCTACCGTCTATCAAATTCGCTTAGATCAGCAGCTTTTCCCATCACTCATAAAAGTAAGTGCAAAAATGATTCCTTACCTTTTCCAGCAACAGTTAAATACCATTCCCACATAATTACGTGTCCTCCACGTCATCCAGGCGAGTTCATTGAACAATGTGGGGATGGTTATAATGTTTTTGCTTGTTTGTGTATGTAAAATAGTGGATTGAACAGAGCCAGATCAATTTTTCCATTTTGTCATGCAATTTGCGATAAATGGCGATGCTTTAATAAAACTTCAGATCATCTTTCGTAGCCTCATTTCTTCTGTCAGGATCAGCACCATAAAGTATTTGCTTAGCATGTTCATATGTGACTGAAAACTAATTCAAATTCTTTTGGAAATAGATTCTTAGCTTCTTCCTAGTTTCAGGCATGGAGGGGAAGGGGGAATCAGACAATTTAACTGGGAATATTTTTTTCCTGCTAATGATAAAGGATGCTTCTTCTCAATTTCTTAACAATACTGTAAGCTTACAAATAAATTTTTAGCAACTTACCAACAAAGGATATCTTGTAACATTACAAAAATGCTTTAGCTGATTAATCACTCGTGTATAGCTGAAACCAGTGTCAGTTACTTCAATCGCAATGATTGACTATATTGAGTGTATCGAATTCGCATCGACTAGAGTTTTCCTCCGTTAAAGCATCTATGTGCAACGTGAATATGAGCCAGTCTTTCTTACAAATGCCCTCCGCGAAGGCAACACTTTCCTTACGCAGGGTAATTCTTGAGTGATCTGCCATATTCAAATAACTTAGCCTGATTTAACTTAACCTCCATTAAAGCATATTATTCCGTCCACCATGAGTACTGGAGATAAAGCAAGAACTGAGGAACAGAAATTCATTTCCTGTTTTCTACAATTGTCCTCTTCATATGTTAAGAACTGAGTTGGATATGCAACATCTATCATATTTTTGTTAAGATTGATTTTAAACCTTAAAGCTTTTAGTTTATTATTGCTAAATACAAAAAATATATTTATATATGTAAAATTTTACTATACAGTTTTATAGCATTTTACCAACACAAAAATGTGAACAACTTTTTAACAATTCCTTGCTTTGAATACAACATGTAGTGCAAACGTTCGCAAAGTAATGGGAATTTTTGCAGCATTTCTGAGCTGTAGTTCTGTGTGGGATTTCCATTATTGTTCGATAGACAGTTTCCACACTTTTTCTAGATTGTTTAGCTTTTTATTAACACGCAGTCAGAGCAGTCTTTCTTCGTGATGTAATGTTACGCACTAATAGCAATCATTTTCGAAGTTTCGCGCTTTCGCAATATATAGCATATTTGTGGAAAATTTTTAAATAGAAAATGAGAATCTAAGGGATTTTCTCAAGGTAAATGTAGTCTAAAACATAAAACCCAATTCAAAGAAAACGCTGGGGAAGAAGGAAACGCTGGAAAGAAAATTCAAAGAAAACTTCAGAATTGTTCTTTTATCGGGTGAGTTTAGAGAACTATCACTGCTTTTGTGCAAAGCTTAATAGTAAAGAATGAAAAATGTTTTCTCATGAAGCTTTTCTGGCGAAAAGGGATCTATGTCTGATCGCCTTCGAAATACATAGCGTTTTGTTCAAAATCTACGCCAGTCTTATTCTAATTGACAGCAAAAAACATTTTTAATTTTTACTATTGTGCAAGTGACATTTAACTTCTAGAGCTTTTTTCTCTACGATACTAATGATAACGAGTAACTCAAATTATTACAGTTGATTACTATTTGAAATACGTTCTAATTTTTTGAAACTTTCTCAGTCTTAAATTTCTTTACAAATGTAAAGAAGACATATACAACATGACAATTTAATCAGAATGCCTTTAATCAGGATTTAATGGCTCCATCGCTTTCAGAGCAATTTCCTTTAGGTTTATGTTATTTTTCCATACTGATTAATGTAAATGCTTCCTATACGTCAACCGAAGTCTGTCGAACCCCCAATGTCAGCCTGAATGTCCTTTGCGGCATCCTGCAACTCGATTTTTTTTTCGCTGAGATGTAAAAAGGTCACAGGGAGCCAAATCTGCAACTAGGAGGGATGAAAGACCACTGAGAGCTTCGTTTAATTTGCTACCACCATTTAGTTTCTCAAAGCACTTCTGCACCAACAAAAAGGCTGCCTGTCAATTGGGGTTTTAATATGTCGGCTGTTGATCCCACCATGCTTATCTCCATGGTAGTGAATCTTCGACACCACTTCAAAGTCTTCTACGATCATAATGATCATAGTCAGAATGCAGGGATTAATATGAACATAAATGACGGAAGGGATTACTTTTAAGAGAATGCAGACCAGATTTCCTTCAGGTCAGTTTTCTCTTATTCTTTCTTTACTAATTAAGAATGCAAAAAGCGTTTAAAAATAATTTAAGGCGTTTTGAATTGCTACATATATATTGAAAACAATTTTATTATGCTAGCTTTAGCTATTAATATAATGTGTAAATGATAATCTTTAAACATTATGCGTGTAAGCTGTAACATATATGTTCTAGTTACAGATGGGTTTCTTTGATCATTTTGCATTATTTCAAGGTAAAAGATAAGGGGTTTCATATTAGCATGAAGTTATATAAAAAATTTCAAGTAGTTAAAAATTATTGAAGTATCTAAATAGGAAATAAGTTTTTAAAAAATCGATAAAATAGGACGAAAACAAATTTGTTTGGAAAACAAAGCTGTCAAAGCAGAAATTTTGTAATTTGATTTCATTTCATACATTCTTAATGCATATTAAATAGTCTTAACTTTGTACCGGTTTAAACAATCAAAAATAAATAATAACTACATCAATAACTACATTATTCTGTTAAATTATTATACTTCGAAACCTGCATATCTTGAAGCAGTTTATTTAAGGAAGAAATTTCATGTTGACTCAATGGTTAAAACTGACAGCAACCTTTTGAACGATGTTTTCTTTATAATATTTCTTGCTAGTGCTATTATATAAGAGATGAGTTAAAGTTATTTGAATGCTGGTGTAAAATGCTATTTCATCTCTAGAAAGTGATTTGTTATTTTCAAATTGCTTTTTGTTTTTAGTATATAATATTCACAAGTAAAATTATGATGTGTTATTCAAAATTAGGCTCTTTTCAATCTATAAATAATCCTTCCCACATTATGCAACCTTCCAAAAATCTCTCTCTGCTTTTTACCTTGAAACGCTAATGAAAAGTAACTAATAAAAAGGGGAAAACTCTCAAAAAAGAGTGCCATTACATTCATACAGTGTAACCATCCCTATCACTACTTGAAATCCTCCTCTGTTCTGACATTTCTGAAATTTTGCTCAAATGATCTTCATATTTTGGAATAAATTTATACAGATTTTTATTGCAATTCACTTTAAAATTTAATTTAAATTCATTTTCTCTGTGAAGAATTTTAACTTGTCAAACGGATCTGCTTAAATAATGTTATTAACTTAAAATGCACAATTAAATTGCAGTGACTACAGCCAAAGTTTTACAATTAGTATCACATAAAATTTTGTATACATTAAGTGCAAATACAGTTTCATATGAGGCTTAATATAACGTTCTAGTCTACATTTTAGCTTGTTTTCATTATATTTCCTCGTGATATATCTCAAATCTGTTATATTTTCAATTAAATGCCCGTTATTAATATAGATTTGAATTTATTTCAGAGGCTCAGAGCTATGGCGAAGTTAACCAGCTAGGCGGCGTATTCGTCAACGGAAGGCCTTTACCCAATGCAATAAGGCTTCGCATTGTGGAGTTAGCTCAACTCGGAGTACGCCCTTGCGATATATCCCGGCAATTGAGAGTATCCCACGGCTGTGTATCGAAAATTTTAGCTAGATATCATGAAACAGGTTCTATACTACCTGGAGCCATTGGAGGCAGTAAACCGCGTGTCACAACTCCAAAAGTGGTTTCGTACATTAGAGAACTAAAGCAGAAAGACCCGGGCATTTTTGCCTGGGAAATACGAGACAAATTGTTAATGGATGGTATTTGTGACAAATACAACGTGCCAAGTGTCAGCAGCATTAGTAGGATCTTAAGACATAAAATCGCTGTGAATACGACATATGGAGGCTTGGACAAAGATACCGCTCGCCATCTCTATGGAGCTATCTACCCGTACCAGTGCAATGGCAGTCAATCACAGCAGCAGCCATCTCCAGCACACACGTCCCCTGTCCCACTCACGATAACAACCAAAGTAAACGTAACTTCGCCACCTGTACTTACGCCAAGGTCTTGGCCCTCCGCCCATTCAGTCTCAGATTTACTGGGCCACTCTATGGGTTTCCAACCTGCAACACCCATGGCAGTGACGGCAGGAAGCCAGTTTTCTCAGTTTCCAACACCCGATGCAGCAGCAGCAGCTGCTGTTGCGGCACAAAACTATAATTATTATATGTACCATCTGCATGGTCACCATCATCATCAGGCTACCGCAGTTCCCAGTTTTGTTTCCAGTGTTCCTCAACCGCCTCAGAATCTATCGTTGACGTCAGCTACAGGCACCCTTTGACAAAAATATGTTTAAAAGCTGTATAATAATCCAAATGCATAATCAGTAATATGTCTAGTATGCATTATTTCTTTGCTGTAAGTATTAGCCTTAAGTATGCATGCTTTTTTAAATTTTTAAATTTTAGTTTGTATAGTTTTAATAAGTAGACATTTTCAATAAATATGCTTTAATTTAAAGTCAAAAGAATTATTATGTTGCGATACATACTGAATAGTTTGTAAAAGCTAGAATATGTAATGCGAGTCATGGTACATTTCTTTCCTGTCAAAATGAAAGCAGTGTGAAAAGCATACACTGTGTGCAATAATCACTTTTAATGAATAAATAAATCCTATTATTTTAATTGAGGGTCCATTTTCAGTAAAAAAAGTAAATAAATGTAAAAAACGCCTAGGTATATATATATATATATATATATATATATATATATATATATATATTAGAGAATATATTTAATGCTATTATCAGCAAAGCTATAATTAAAATTTTTTGCTATGATTAGCTAAGTTATAATTTCAATATTTGTCAGATCAGATTCCAATCCAAGTCAATATTTATGCTTACAGTGTATTCAGTTTGTAAATAATAATAAACTTTAGACAGAATGCGAAGGAATTCTTTTTAAATCTTGGATTTATACGCTTGCTGAATTAGAATTGTAGCTTGTTACAGAAATAAAATTATCCATAAATTTAACATTTATCTTTCTTATAATATAACCTTTTAAAATGTTAATTTTCAGCAATTATTTAACCTTACATGCAAATATAATTTAATCTTAAACCAAACAAATCTGAAAATCGACTTTAGGAAACAATTTTACTAGTATAGATTTGTATTTTTGTTCAGCTGCTCAAATGCTTAATTAGGTTAAAAATTTAATTTTTTTGTTCGGTAATATATTTGACTTTGTAAAATAATTTATTTAAAAATATTTATTCACAAAAATCTAAGTCAATTTTATTATATGGTTTCAGTAAACATGTGCTCTTATTCAACGATTTACTCTGCATAATATCCAAATTACCGAAATTAATATGATGAATGTAAGAGTAAGGAAAATAAGATCGTAATATTTAGAAGAAACCTATGATTATAAAGAAACATAAATACCATAAAGAAACCCTTTAGATATAGAGATAAAATATCTAAAATTCACAAAAATGAATAAAATTTAAATAAGTCATTTCATAGAAGAATAGTGAAAATAATATGTCTTATATTATGTCTTATATATCGTCCTACGTGTGTATATATACCATATATATATGGAACGTGGAATGCAGCTACTATGACTTATTCCTATTTAAAAATGATGAATTAGGCTTTAACTTTACTAATTGGAAAGCCTCAAAGCGCAGATAACGGCTGCTCTAATTGGTCTCTGATTACCAGAGCCCACTAATGATGCCCGTATCAATGGTTTCTATTCTTTTGCTATATCTTTAATCCGTTAAGTTTTCAATTTCTTTTCGTAGATCTAATCAGTACCCGAGGAAAGAAAGTCTCTTTCAGAAGGATTCTGTAATTAATTTATGATAGCTTAAGACTAACTGTATTTTTCTTTGAGCAGCAATATTCAGAAATTTATTGTAAAAAATCATATGAAAATTTTAAATTTTAACTCACTTAAACAGTGTATTTAAGTGGCTTATGAATGGCGTAAAACGAATGGAAATTTTTCTAAAATAGAATAAATTACTAATCCAGTTTTTCTAAAAATCTTAGGTATATGTTTGTTTATCTAGGTATATGTCACGGGCACAATTGAAGGATTTTCTTTCGTTAAAATATATTTATTATGTTATTATTAAAAGTCACTTATATGACTAAGAAACCGCCTTCACGAAAAAATTAAAACATGTAAATATTATGAATTATTCTATTTTTTGTTTTTAAGTTTTGATTTAAGTTTCAAATGTTTCAGAATTTTTTTCAAAATGATTTCAAGATTCATATGAACTTCTGAGCCTGAAGCAGTCGCTCCAGTTTAATAAATGCATAATATAAGATAGAACTTTCACTCTATGACAGGTGTTATGGCAAGATCATAAAATTTGGATCTTTATACATATATACCGGCAAAGAAAGTTCTAATTAGAAAATCACTGCTTATTTTTCTAAAAAATCTGTTCTGCATCAACATTCATATATTTATGTTAAAAGTTATCATGTAATTAAAACTGTCTTCGTCTGAAAGGCCTATCTCAGTTGATTTATTTCTTAAAGCGGAGCTATGGATATACAATCAAGCATTCAAGATGTGTCTAGTCATATGATCTTACTAAAGCACTTTCTGTTGTATAATGTTATAAAAATAATTAAAATTTCATGACAGACTAACGGATTTGTTAAATTTGAATGCATTTTATTTGTCAATCGTATTTTATATACTGTATGAGTGTTTTGTAAATTTCATGAGTTTTTATAATTGTCATTAGTATTTTGTGTAAACTTTCCAAAGCTAGATGGTCATATTTATCCTTTTTCTTGAAATACTTTCTTACTGTACTATTATGTGAATATTTGGTAGACGTACTTTGTAAAATAGTAGAACTATTGTTTGTACATACATGGAAAAATATGGCTTCTGAATATTAAACTCACTTCTCATCTTCTTGCACAGAAATGATTTTTAAAATTTTATGCTGTTTATAAATTTACAATTTTTTCTATACTAAAGTTTGTAGTTTTGATAGCTTAAAAAATTGAACAAATCATAAAAGTAATAATCTTATGGGTTACTCTTTTTCTAAATCAAATTTTAATCTAATCATATCTTAATTTAATCATATCTTAATTTAATCATATCTTAATTTAATCATATCTTAATCTGATCATATCTTCATATTATTTCAATCTAATCATATTTTAAAACAAAAGTATTAGTTTTTAAAAGGAATCTCCAATAATACTGAAAGCAATTTAAATGCTTCAGAAATTTCATTTACTAATATTTACGTATAAAACTTCGTGTCGGTTTTGAGAAAGTTAATAGTACTTAATATTTTAACTCAAAGCCCTTGTAATTATTCATCCAATGGATTTATGAAGCCAAAATATATATCAGTGTATATATTAGTGCAAGGAGGAAAAAGAATAAAGAATGTAGCATAATAATAATGCAACTATGGAATTATTCTAAATATTTTTCATACTTTTAATACTTTTTATTATAATACTTTCATTTTAATACTTTTTATTATAAATAACTGTTTATTTAGCATTAAAATGAAAGAATATTTATTAGATTATTTTAAATTAAAAAAAAATAGAATGTAGCATAATAATAAAGCAGTTAAGGAATTATTCTAAATATTTTTCACTGCAAATTGTTTAATAATTTTGATTATAAATAATTGTTTATATTAGCTTTAAATTGAAAGAATATTTATTATATTACGTCAAGTTTTATATTTTTATGTTTACAGCTTTAGTTTCTTTGTATCAAAGCGATCAGCGCATTTGGCTAAAAAAAAAGAATTGTTGCATCAGATCTGTACATTCTATGCTTGTTATTGTACCCAATACAACGAAGCTTTACATTCATTACGATAAAAATCAAAATGAATATGCGGATGTAATTCTAATTGTGTAGAATACAGAGCATTTATTTATTTTATGCACTATATTCGTATAAATAAAATTAATTTTTTCATTGATTATGCTGTCGTCTCATGATTTTCGAACATACTTAAAAATGATATTAATCGTATCTAAAAAAAGTCATTTCACTTAACATTTCAGTGTAATGTATTTGCATTCGGTATTCAGAAAAAGGATAGCAATTGAAGAATGATTACGTAAATTTCCTTTTTCATGACAGAAAGAAGGGCTAACAAATCATAAAAGATCTTAATAGTTAGTACACGGCATTAAGCAGTCATTGCATCAAAATCTCAAACAAGAACGGGAAATAAAAGACAGTTTCTAATCTAAGCAGCCATCTCATAGATATCTTAAATAAAACTCGGGCAAACAAAAATCGAGTAATAAAGTATTCTCTTTTTACAATTATTAAATCCATGAAGACTTTTTCGTCTCGTAAACAAGCTAACTTAAAATTAGTCACAATGTTCATAATTATGAAGAATGCTTAAAGAAGTACACATACAGTCTTGAATACTTTACGTACAAAATGTCCTATAATATTTTGTTTTCAAAATCAGTTAAAATATTCATTATGATGTGGGCACAGAAATACGTGTGAACTTTGTATTAGTGAACTTCAAATTAGAAAAAAAAATTGCTACGAAAAACTTTTCGGGGAATAATAGGTCCATGATGAATTGATGAATAGAAATTGAGGAAACAAAAAAAGATCGAAACTCAGAAAAATTACATACAGATCAAAACTCAGCAAAAGTATATGCAGTTCAAAGCAGTAGTATAGTTTAAATAACTCAGTAAAACTTAAGTTTTCGTAGTATTTACTTTCACTAGAAACAATACCAGCATATTGAAGAAAATTGACTATATTTTAGCCCAAATAGAAATGAGTTCTAGATGTCCTAAAGAAACGGATTTCGGTTCAGGCTAACAATTAGTTATTCACATATAATTAATACCACAAAAGCAAAAAGTACTTTTGCCAGTAATCTGAGAAATTCATGCAGAAGTAATTAAAACATTTAAACAAAATTCATGATCATGTTTAATCTTCTTTTAAAGTGAATTAAGCAAATAAAAATTTAATCCTATGTTGTTTCAGGAAGGGAAAAAGGTAAATGTCTTTAAATCTTTTAAAAATATTTTCCCAATACCAGCGTTTCGTAAAGAGAAAAATTTTGTAAATATATACGCTCATATACAAGTCCGTTTATTTGAAATAAAGTATAGTAACAAAAAGATAGAAAAGCGTATTGGCTAAATATCAAAAGACATGTGAAAAAATATACAGTTTCCACTGCATTTTATTTTCAAAAGTTTAACGCGCCCTTTCATGGACTTAACATTTCTTATCATACAAAAAGTACCAAATCTAAGCTGTAATACATTTGAGGCTGATTCATCTAGCTACGTCTGAAATGCTTCGCACACCATAGAATAAGGCAGAAAGGGCACAAAAATGAGTTCAGTTGATTAATGAATTGAATGGACTTGTTTTAAGGTATTTTCTTGATTGAATATTGCTCATTATTTAAGAAAGACTTGTGAATTAGCAGATTTTTATATTTTTAATAGCTTGCTGTATTTCCGAAATTTTAGATGCAACGTTTAATCACTATCAAGTTGATTAGGTCATGAAATGTCCGTAAATTTCTCTAAGATGACTACATTTTAATTATTCTCTGAAGTCTCTAATATCCTATCAGCTTTAAGTTCTTTAGAAGAGATAGCAATAAGACCTCTAAATATAATAATAAAAAAATATAATACATTAGAGTCATTAGGTTATTTTGAAGCAGGAGAGATGAGAAATAAGCAATCCCCTCGCCGGGACTCGAACCACGCACCTCTCGAATACTCGCCGAGTACGCTGACCACTACACCACGAAGGCCTGCTAAGAAGGCGGTAGAAATACCTTCCCAACCAATATGGATTCCGAATGGGCAACTCAACTGAACATGCCATAAAAGACTTAATGGCCACTATCAAACAGAACAAGGATAACAATTTGCACTCACTGGAAATAGCCATTGACATCAAGGGAGCCTTTGACTCCCTTTGGTGGCCAGACGTAATAAATTTGCTGCACAACATGGCGTGCCCAACAGCCATTATTACCATCCTTCGCTCGTACCTTCAAGATCGAAGTGTACAAGTAACATCAGACAGCGGCATTTATGTCAAAAATGTCTTTAGAGGATGCCCACAGGTTCATGCCTTGGACCAACACTGTGGAATATAGTGGCAAACTCGGCATTTCGTCAGTTTTAGAGCGTAGAATACGCTCGAATCATAGCCTATGCGGACGATTTTATGCTAGTTGTAGCAGGAAGGAGTAACCTCGAAATGAGATCTCAATACTGTCTTGATCTGTTCTCTCAATGGGCCAGAGCACATAAGCTTCAGATTTCGGCAGAGAAAACTAAAGCTTTGCTCATAGGACGCAGCAGGCAGCTAAGACGCAACCCAAGCATTAAACTCCATGGGATACCGGTAAAATGTTTCCCCCAATTGAAATATCTTGGGCTATTACTCGACAACAGACTTTCTTGGATGCCACATGTCAGGAATCTTAAGACTCGAATTAGCATCCTAAGCAACAACATGAGACGCATGACTTCACATAAATGGGGTATCTCATCTAAGCTACTAAAATTTTGGCATAGAACCATTACAGAAAGATTAATAACTTATGGAGCAGCAATCTGGGGTGGCGAACTTACCTCTCATATGAAAAGATCCCTGCTCTCTATTCAGAGACAGCAGCTACTTCAAGTATGCAGGTCCTACCGTACCACGTCAACACTAGCCCTACAACAACTAGCAGGAATTCCTCCCCTAGATTTGATAGTAGAAAGGGAGGCAGCTATCGTAAGGGTTACCAGACTGGGTCAAACTTCAACACTCTGGGGTCATAGTTATCACCACTCGGACTACGAGGAGCAAAACAACTGCAATAACTTTTCATCCAGCAGCTTTTAATCTCTCTGACGGTATCAGTATAAACGACCAACCAATTCAGAGGTACAGTAATAACCTTTTCACAGATGGCTCCAAAACTGAGAACGGCACGGGCAGCGCCTTCTGTAGACTAGAAAATGGAGTTGTAACATTCGAGTGGAAAAGGAAATTAGGCTTGAACAACTCGGTATACCAAGCAGAGCTTCTAGCTATCAGTGCTGCAATTAGATATGCGAACACATGTCAACAGGAGAAATTCTCCATACTCAGCGATTCTGCATCAAGTCTAACGGCTATCGCAAGTCAAAACAGCCGTAGTCCGTTGGTATACAGAATTCAGAAAACAGCTTCGACAATGCCTATTTCGCAAAGACCCACTTTAAAATGGGTTCCCGCTCACACAGGGATTCAAGGCAATGAAGCCGCTGACCTACTGGCCAAGCAGGCAGCCAACTGTACGGATATATTAGAAAGACCAACTAAACTTCCTTGGTCTCATATTAACGAACAACTTTGACAAGTCTGCTACAAAATTGGCAAAGTAGATGGGCAGAGGCAGAGGTAGGACGAAGGACATTTCGCTTACTGCCAAAAGTTAACATGGAAATAAAGACCCACTGTGCTAGCCTAACACAGTTCTTGACAGGTCATGGACCATTCCCAGTATACCTGAACAGATTCAGACTTAGGGATACTCCTTTCTGCGAATGCGGAGAGGAAGGCGACACGGACCATTATTACTTCCATTGTGTACATACAAGAACCTGGCACTTGAAGAAACCAGCGGACTGTGCCTGGGCAATGTGGACGACTAACACACTCAAAAACAGAATAGCCCTTGATAAAATAGAGAAAATCTCAGAACACTGCCTAAGCAGAAACAACCGTGGATAATATTATAATGTTTCAAAAGTTCAGAACTTAAAGCAGATAACCAGAATAACGCTTAATGCCTTGCAGTTAACAATATGTAAAAACTGTTATTAGTTTATAATATTCAACCTTGTTACTCTGGAGTCTTCCCCGCCGTGATGGTATATAATTCCGTTTGGTTCATGTCCGTGGTCGGAAGCCATCATAGCGGTGCACTCACTCACTCACCTTATAACATAAAAATAGAAAATAATATATATAATAGTGGAAAATAATTAATAATAAAAAATAAAATATACACATTGAAAATCCTCAGCTTTTAATAATCACAGGAATGTAGCATTCAAAAGAGATATAAAGGGAATAGCTCAATGCGAGCATGTATAGCGCTAATATTCAAATTGTAAGTATCTTTGATGCGGATGATGCTTCAATTCAAATTGCACAGAATTTTTCTCCAAAAAGAAAATTGAAGGAAATCTTAAGTACGTCAAATTCAATTTCAGGACCCTAATTTCAACTATTAAATCCATACAAGAGCAAACTATAAAACTTGTCTATGAAATAAAATGCATTTTAAATTAGGCGACGTTTTAAAAAAGGCCAAAGGGAAAGTTTTATAAAATTCTGCATTCTCTAAATTCAGCACTATTGTGGTTAAAAACTTTGGCTTAGAAAACTATGCAGAATTATCCCTCATCTTGACAGAGAACCGTTGACTCTTTTGAAACTGAAAAAGCATTAACTATAAGTGAGGCAATTTTTCTCAAGTATGCTCCAATAACCGCCGTAGATGTCGAGAAAAGCTTCTTACGATATAAAAACATGTATACTGACAACAGATCTATCACTTTCGAAAACATCAAGAAGCACTTAATAATGCAGTGCAATTGTAATACGTTTGTGTAAAGTTAAAAATTCGAAAAAAAAAATAAAATTCAAATGACAGATATGTGTAATTGTTTAATTTTAAGCCATTTGGCAACTGCGTTTTTTTTTTTAATTATTATTATTTTGGAGGGACCTCTTTTTTATTTTTAAGGGCATTTTCAGTGAATTTTTATGTCACCAAAATCCGGGGGCTTCATATTAGATTATGATTTTCAAGTAATAAAATTGCAAGAGAATATTAATAACGTACTTTTAGCGTCTAAAAACTTATAATACTATATTTATAATACTATAATAACTAATATTAACTTACTGTATGAAAATTCTTTCGGCATAGCATGTGCAATGTTACACATTTCTCAATCGCAAAAGAATATCATTGACTGCCATTTAAGGGTTGATGTCGACTTCGAATTATTCTAATTTATTTATTAACCGACTCCTGTAGCCAAACTTAAAGTCAAAAACCGCAAATCAATTTTTTTCACACGGAAATCAAACCTTTCGTGTTGTATTTTTTATTTATTTATTTATTTTTGTGAATGCAAAATATTCCTAAATACAATAGGAAAAAATAATATAGGGATCAGAGGGACGTATAAAGATATAGATTTCATATTTAAATTTAGAAATACTAAGACATGAATATTTGTCTCATTTAAAACATTTCTGTAATTGGAAATATACATCTACGACCAACAGTTACGAAAATGAAGGCCGGGTAAGGACTTTTGTGGACTCGGTATATATGGCGAGGTATCCATTTACCGATGCTTTTAGCAAATGCAGCTTTTAACGGGATGGCTGCGTGGATATTGTCTTGGATTTCCCCATGTGTAACGTGATACGAGCTAGTTTCCCTTAAAACATTTTCCACCAAAGCATCTCTTAGGCAGATAACCCTCGCTTGTTTTGCCATAATCAAACAAAACATACACTAAAATGAATTGGAAGTCTATTGAAAAAGCTGGATGATGACACAGCTGGATGGTGTGGTTAAGACACCTTAATAAATGATGGGATAACCGCAATCAGAACACCCTCTTTTATATCTACCGGCGTTTTCGGATGATTCTCGTTGCCATACAATTAAAAAAATTTTGGAAAATTTCTTAGAAATCGGCATTATATTCCAGTAATAATATAGAATGAAATCATGAAGTATTGCAGCATAAAAGCTCTTCATCGATACGTGTCTAAATACCTGGAGAATATTCTATCATAATTACTGTAATTAAGTACCAACACTAAAAACCAACACTAAAACCTGTTAAAGTAATGCACGAAGTGTAATTTCAAGAAGTCATGTCATAACAACAATTTAATACAGACGGTCCTCAAGTTACGGTGTTTCAATTTCAAGATTTTCCCATTTAATGATATCATTCAGTAGAAATGCTATTTTGAATTTAATCTTTCTGCGTATTAGCAATGCGATGTATACAATCTATGAGGTAAAATCGCTGAAAGCTAGCCACACGATGTTATTTTTTCTTCATGAAAAATACGTCATGGAAAGAAAAAAAAATCGTATAGTCTAAATATATCATTTTTCTTAAGACAATTAATGCTGTTAAATACTTAGCAAGCGCCGATGCTTGACTACCCTCTATGTGCAATACAGCTACTATTCTCGAGATTTAGCCCTTTCGCGCTGACTGTCACGTATACGTGCCAGCAAGAAACGTACTCATTTCTCCGGCCGACACGCTGAAGTGCCAGAGCATCTTCTCGTTCACACATTTGTACCAGTGTCTTGGAACGTTTTAAAAACTATAACTTTGGGCCCAAGATGGCATTGTATGTCCATATGGTTGCAGATACATGTCGATTTTACTTTCTACTCAAAATGAGAGTAGCATGACTCACATACACTGACGGGGCTTTTGATTATATAAACATAATGGGAAAGGAATGTTTCCGAATGGCATACTTTATGACGGCTTTAAGCTATCATCTATGTTAAATTAGTGTTTAAATATATTTTCCCTTTACTTTACATGAAAATACATAAAATAATTGCTCGTTTTGAGAAATAATTTTCGGAAGCGCTATTCAAATTATTCCAAAGTTTTAATTGATAAAATACATTAATAAACTTATTAATAAAAAAATACAAAAATGTCAGTTTACAAAAAGTAAAATCCTTCACATGAACTGGAAAATAGACATTCGGTGAGCTCAGTCTCTGACAAAATGTCCATATGAGAATCACTACAAATACCACTTTCTAACTCTTTAGGAAATGAATCATCACTCTCATTCATATTACTAATTGGCACATTTATCACTCGTTTGATAAAAAAACGCTTGCTCCCCATAATAAACTGAAGTCGTATAAGATACATAAGTAAACTGAATGCTTTCCGAAAAAAAAGCTATGCAAAACGTAATAGAACCTCACATACTAACCCTAAAAGACTTTACATTAGTAGCAAAAAAAGAATACAAAAATGATTCGAAGGGGTATAGAAACGCGAATGTTTATATCACGAGAAAACGCTCTGGCATGCCAGCGTGCCGGCCGGGAACCGAGTGTGTTTCTTACTTTTTTATGGATTTTGGGTTAATAGCAAAAAACCCTGCGGTCCTGGACAGACACTCCCGAAAGATATTGCCGGCTTCAACGTTAAGCACGCGCTTCCCGTCGCGAAAGGGTTAACAGATAGAACAAAAACTAATGATCTCGCTACTAAAGCATCTCTACTGCTCCTCAATTAATTAAATTTCAATATTTAAATATATTTTTAGTTTCAGTGAGTTCACCGTTGTTTTTTATAAAACTCAACGGTGAGTTACTGCCGCTAATTTTCCGAAAACAATATGAATTGGAGAAAAGCTTGTGATAATTATATTAACTTCTTAACAGTTAAATTTACATTTTTGAAATTTCTTATTCTTCTGGTTTCCGTTGCAATAATTCTTTCAGTTGAGAAGTTTTATGCAAAGCTCAATTACGTGAGAGTAAGTTTAACTACAGCGATTGCTAAGTGCTATTTACGCTGAAGTTTAGTGGGATTTGTTTCTGTTTGTGAAAATGCTAGTTGCGTTTTGCAAATTGTGCCTGTGATTTCAGCAGCATTTTTCATTTAAATGAAAATTTAACTTAGGAAGCTATAACATTTTTAAGTATCTAGTGATTAACAGAAGAAACTACTAGCGGTTTAGGCCAGTTGTGAAACTATTTAAGTATCTAGTGATTAACAGAAGAAACTACTAGCGGTTTAGGCCAGTTGTGAAACTATTTAAGTATCTAGAGATTAACAGAAGAAACTACTAGCGGTTTAGGCCAGTTGTGAAACTATTTGCAAACAATCCTTATTTCAAATTCAGTGTTGCAGAGCATTTTAAGCTGGACCACAAACTGTGGCACAAATAAGTTTTTCATTATTTTTATTTAGATATGTTTTAAGTTCCCTGTTCCTCTGCTGCAATAATTCGCTGTAAGATTTTGTAGCCTATGACAGTGGTTTCAAACTGGCGGTACCTGAAGGAATTTTACATGGAATTATAAATTTCAAATATATATTTGTTATACATGCAGTACTTATAGGCTTACAGACATAAAGAGAGGGACCCATCTTATGCGCGCAACTATCATTGAAGGAAAAATAGATGAAATAAATAGGTCAGAGCTTTGTTCGTGTCACTGTGTGCTCGTAATACCGGGCCACGTGACTGTGGTTTAACATTTCTTGTTGACTTAACTAACCATCTAAATACTCTCAATAAAGAGCTGCAAGGAAAACTTATTGACATACATTACCTGTAATGAAGTTGCAGGGTTCTACTGCACCTAGAATCTTGTGTCAAAGTTCTGCAGATCCTACTAGACTGCAAGGGAGTTATCGCTTAATCTGAAACAAATCACAAAGTCGTGAGAAGGTTAAAATAAGCTTTTCTCAAACTCTTAAATTAACAGAAAGGCACAGCTTGTGAGGCAGATGAACCTCCGCGACTTGCGAGTGTTTAAATAAACAGAAATTTAAATTTCAAATATAGATAACGTAGTCAGAGACTATACATAAAAAAGATTACTTAGCTGATGGCTCAGATATTTAAAGGCGCGTATGTTAAAACTTCGACTAGCAAGACCCTAAAGCCGTAGTACAACTTACGTAGAGCTGGCGATGGTAAATAACAGTAAGATGCGGCAGCTAGAAGTTCTAATCTAAACATTCGAAACCCTCATAATAAATACACAAAACAACTGGTGAGGACCACGGAAAAGAGATACAGTAAAGGTTCAGGTCATAATAAATACAGAAGATACAATAAAGGTTCAGGTCATAATAAATACAGAAGATATAATAAAGGTTCAGGTTATAATAAATACAGAAGATACAGTAAAGATTCAGGTCATAATAAATGGTTAGTTAAGCTTATAAAGCTCTTAAAATGAAACTGCAATTATGAGAAACATACTTGGAATATATAGTGTCATTTCTTGCATCTTAAATATTACTCTATCATTTTAAAATGACAGTATTACGAAAAGAAATTGAAGAATGATTTAAAGATTTTAATCATTTGGAATTCGATTTTATATTATTGTCATCACCATTAAAAATGAGAGTGAAGAATTCACCATAAATCTGCAAATAAAGCTGATTAATTCACAGGCCGCTATAAACTTTATTCAAAGATTTGAAGGTACAGATTTAATGAACTTTTTTTTTTCATTTGCCAAAAGATAAATATTATCAGTTTTGTAATAAGAATAATCACTTTGTTTACGAATACATTTGTATGTGAGCAGCTGCTTTTCGCAGTTGAAAATTAATAAATCTACGAAAAGAGCCCGATTGAACGATGATCATCAAGACGAAGATAATTTCTAGTCATATTTCTCGCCAGCTAAAGTCTTTATTAGAATCAAAACACCCCCAAGAGTCAAGTTGTAATAAGAATTTTTTTTTAAAAAAAATTATAATTATTTACATACAAACAGGTGTACTCTTTCTATAGTAATCGAAGAAAATTTTAATGAATAAAAGAAAGAATTGTAAGTTCACAGAGTTTGGTATTCTTTGATAGCGTAAAATAATTGCAAACTCCTAACACCCTTGGAGCGAATTATCGCTGCAACTGAAGATAACGATAAAGACTTGAGAAGCTTACAAAATATCCTTTTTATTAAATCAGAACTTTGAACATAAAATACACGTCTCATGCTTGACAAGATTAGCCAACCTCTTGGGGCGACGTAACTTAAAATAACACTATATTTCAAATTTAAAACTATGTCTAGGAGCCAAAGCTACACAATTGTTTAACGCGAAGTTGGCTCAAAACTTCTCACTGGCGTAACACTTTAAAATGACGACAGCCGTAAGGCAAAGCCGAATAATATAATTTTATTTGAGCTAGTAGAAACCTAACAACGTGGCCTCGACAGGCAGAACCACGCTCTGTTTCACAGTCCGAAAACCTCACCTTAAATATTCTTAAACCTGATTTGCATTCTAGCAGGGAAACGGAAAGGAGAACTGACTATCAAGACCTAACTCATAACAGTTTTTTATATTAACGTAACGTAACTTTACAAGTTAGAATTATTTGAAATAAATGCAGTTTGAAAATTATTATTTAGCAGTCAATACATTTAAATTCCGAAGTTTAACCAGCAGAATTTTCTTGCAACCTTTAAATTTCAAAAAAGAAATAAATATAAATTGGATTTTTTTTTTCTTTTTGTCAATATTACTATAATTTTTGTTTTGATAAAGATTTGTTAAGAAAAATTTAAAATTACCTATTTTTTTTTATTTTGTTAAAAAGTATTTCCATTTTGTTAAAAACAAATTCCTGTCCGTCACTTGCTTTCAAATCCTGCATTCGGCCCACATGAAGTTCGAGGCTACTGGTCTACGCCACAGTGCAGGTCAAGCTTCCAATTACAGAATTTAAGATTTTATCCCAATTTTTATGTTAACTGTATTACTTTTCGGTAGAACGTTCGATTTTCTCAGCTATTATTAATTCGAAATAAGATTTATCTCGCACGTTATCTACTTTCACTAGATTTCCAAGCTAAAGGGCATGAAACAGAACGCTAGGATATACACTTTCACATTCCATTCGTATCCTATTTAGAAGTTATTGTATTGTATTCTTACTTTGGTAATAACCCGGCTTGACACAATATAACCGAAATTAAACCTATCAACTAGAGAATCTAAAATTACAGCTACAATGTTTTATGGCAGTTTTATTTCTTATCACAGCCATAACCGACTTTTTTAGCCAATGCTTAATTGCATAAAGAATTATCTGGCACATTATCTACTTTCATTGTATTTCCAATCAAACGCATATGAACGTCAGCATAAAAGCTTTTACATTCCATTGCCACCCTTTCAGAGCATTTCAACGTCTTCAATTCGTCACGTGTGATATTCGGGCTTTTTAAAGCTCGTAATTTGTTAACATTTGGGAAGTAATGGGAAGATATCTGTCAACCACATCATCAGTATCTGTCATCTAGCAAGCTTGCGGCACCCTCACATCTATCATCAATCCAATAATATTTTTTAACGCTCATCAAAACTGTTCAGAGCGAGTATTTTTCGGAATAAAAGAATGAAGGTGTTCTGCTTACTTCAGTCAGATTCCCAAATGAAGTATCCGGCGTCCTTCTTTGGAAGCACACAGTAGCTTTTATGTCTGAGTTCTGTGGAATCACTATAAAGGTCACCGCGTCACTACCGCCGCAGGAAAGGCTTTTTATTTTATTTCCATTCAATGACAGTTTTCAAAAGTTTGTTTCACGAGGCGAGCTTCCTCAAATACTGCTTTCTTCTGAAATGAGTCACATAGGTTATTTGAATCCAAAATCCAAGCAAAGTGACGCTTAGACACTAATATTATTGAATGACGAGTCCAAACGCTGATTTCTGAAAGAAAATGTTAAGAGTGGTTAATTGTTTCAAGATGCAGATTAATGCACTCAGACAGAATAAATCTGTGTTATGATTTACCAGCACTGAATTCATAAACTCTCAATAAAATTACACTGCTAATTTTTAAATTGGTTTTGGAAGTATTAAGAAATCAGAGCTCAGTGAATTTGACTGCCAAAACGTATCAACTGATAGATGGAAGGAGAAAATGAGATATTATTATTAGAATTCATTATTGAATTGGTTGCCTCTGTATGCAAAATAAAACTGATTACTCGTATTCAGCTGTAAAAAGTAAAATTTTGACGAAAGTTGACTTATTCTGAACAAAAATTATCACAAATTACATAAAAATATATGCAAAATGGGCTTATTTGACAGAGACAGTTTTTTTTTTTTTTTTTTTAAGTCCAAAAGGCCAACTTGCCCAGATGGGCTATTAATTTCGTTTTGGCATTTTGCGCTGATTCACTAATAAACTTATTAATTATTAACAATATTCACTGTAAATATATATGCAATTTATATATATATATATATTAAGTTTGCCACCAAATATTAGAGCCCTATATTGTATTTAAAGAAATTAAATAATGTAACTGCATAAATGATGTATATTTCTCACATTGTTATAAAACAACGGTACCTAGCGCATCAATTTGATAAGTAAGTCTACACCCGAATGGGCATCTGGAAGGCCAAATTTGGAATTTATTTTATTATCTATTTCATATTTTCTAAAGCATTTATGAATTTTGATTAAGAAACTCAATGATTTCAAAACGGGCAATGACAGCACTGTACAGAAAAAAAAATTGTCTCCAACGCGCGAGACTGTGTATCGGAAATTCTAAAGATATGCTCTTTTAACTATTTTACGATATGCTGCCCAGACAGTGTAGTGGTTAGGGGAGCCGACTACGATACCAAAGGGCACAGGTTCAAATCCCGGAACAGGCATGGTTGTTAGGAGGCAAAGGTGGCCCACCTATTAGGTGCTTCCATAATAATGTGATTACCATTTCTGGCCCTAGTGATGGCCAAGCCGAAGTCGGCTGAGAGCTCGCTATTGGCAATATATATATTACATAGATATATATTTTGTGATATTGCTGTGTGTAACTGAATTTTACGGTTTAAGTGCGGAGAACATGACATTTAATAAATAAAGGTAAAACATAAAACGCTCCTTTGGGCGTAATATAAAATCTGAAACCTTTCAGATTTCTTCTTTTTTTTTTTTTTTTTTTTTTTTTTTTAAATCTGTAGTTTGGGCATAAGATGAATAAAAATTCGCCGGAAATCATGATCATAAATCTTTTAGCATTTCTATCACCGATAGAGTTGACTAGAGTGCACATCACGGGGCAATGGGTATTGCTTTTCCAAGAGAAGGAAAACGTAACACACAAATAGCCAAGTCTTACGGGGCAGCAGAAACTGCGCCCTCAGTTTTGGACTGAAAGTTAGTCTCTGTTAGCCAACATGCGGTTTGTCGAAACGCTAAATAAATATTAAAACATTTATGTGCAATTACAAAGAGAAAGAGAGAGAACGAAAAAAAACTTAGGCTTTCAAGATGTGATATCACAAGCAATTCCTTAGTTCTGTATCACAAATATCACCAGCGATTTTGCATCAAAGGTCTAAGAAATAAAGTAAAAAATTACTAATCTGAATATTGTTAACTACTTTTCAATAAGAATCCCTTTCATACTATACTCAGTCTCTAGATACGAGATTTATCCTATCCATATGGTGCTTGACTTTGATTCCATTTGATTTGCATGCATATATAACATAGCAACATCATCTGAATCCAATAAAAATCAAATGCACGATGACTTCCAGAGAGTAGTTTTATACAATGCAAACCCTTTTATTTATAAGATATGCCTAAAAGGCAGAATCGCCCGTGGAGTCATTGAGTGATGCATGGGATCCTCACGTTACAACAGTACTGCGTCTATCTGCCCAGTGACACTAGATCTTCATGGCCAGTTTTACTAAGGATACAAGGTATTTCTTCCGCCTTCTTGGCATGCCTTCGTGGTGTGGTGGTGTGCACGCTGGGCGCGTATTCCAGAAGTCCGTGGTTCGATTCCCGGCAAAGGCGTTACATATTTTTCATCTTGCCTGCTTCCAAAAAATTACCTAATGTCTCTACAAGGATTTCCGGTGATATGTATGGTAATCTCTAAGTCTCAATAAGTCTTAAATTTAAGTATTATTTAAGGTATTTTCAGATAAAATCCCTGTAAATGGGTTGATTGCATGGGAATTTTCATTCCACATTTCACATAAATTGTTTATGATTTGGTTGCCAAATTCTCTCGAATGGGCTCCAAAAGTTAAGAAAATATCGAGAAGGTGATATGTTATTTCATCAGTTCTTTTACTATGCAGACATCGGAGTTGGACGAATTTTGTAAAATGATACACTAAAAAGAAATTTCATATCACGATCAAGATTGGACATATTATTAGACTACATATCTATTAGGTCCGCATTGAGAATTCATTTCGCTATGCACAACTGGTTTGATTAAAATCCTCTTTTTCACAATTTTTTTGTTTTTTCTGACATGGTTCACATAGTCTCAAATTTTACGTGACGATAGTTTCTACTATTATATTCTTGTATTTGCGATTTCCTTAATCATACGTGTTCTTCCACTATGGCCAACTGCGATGTGAGCGTTGTGTATGACATTGAGGATTTCATCAATTGTAATTCAATACAGGATTTCTGCTTTTTCTGCAGATAGTGGTGCTATAAGTTTGTCTTCTCCTCCAATATTTAGAATATCATAGCTTTTCATTCTTCTGTAATAAATTGTTTCTGCTTCACACATTTTGCTTCTTTCACTTCATTTATTAAAGAAGTGTATTTCACATTTGTTAAATAAAAGGTGTTATCGAGCTTAATTTTTACAGATTTAAACGAAATGTCGTAATTTGTTTTCCGCATAACATCACTCATTTCCTTTTAGGAAAATAAAAAACCCAAAATATGTTGAAATGGAAACAAACTGCTTCTATTTTAGATCGTAGCCGCTTGCACTTGTTTGAATTCGCTCGAAGGTAGAGTACAGATGGCGCAAATAATAATTAAAAAGGAGCAGGAACAGAAAAGTCTCGCAACGGAATTTGCGTGCGCGTGTTAATTCAGAGTCCATTTAAATCCCTCGTTTCGGGCTTTTATGGCGTTGGTAATTCCAAGGTTTTACTGCAAAGGCTTGGTAAAACCTAGGACTTACCAGACTTCGGGCATTTACAGTAACATATATATTAAGAAAACCACGAAATCACACATGGAGCCAACCCGTTCATCATATTTCAATCCGACCCGAATGACCAGAATTCTGTGTATAAGAACATTATTCTTGTGACAAATAGTTATAGAACTCATATAGACACCTTCATTAAATATTTAATCAAATGAAGACTTTTCATTAATTTTAGCAATTCATTGACCTTGAATAGGTTCTCAGTTCGGTATTTGCCGTGCAACTTTCAGTATTAACCCTTTGCGGCACAGTGTGTCCGGTCTGGACACACATAAAAATTTCCTTCTGTACGCACAGAAAAATTGAATGAAAAGGATTTATAGGTTACTATAGGTTACTCTGAACCTTCTTTATTTATAGTAGATGACAGCTCAACACAAACCGGTCCATATATTTTAGCCATGTTTAGTTTTTTAAGACCCTCATTTTTCAAAGAAATCTTCTAGATTTATTTTAGGGTATAAAAGGAATTGTTTGAAAAGAAATTTCTATGTTATTTTTTGGCTTTATGCTAATGTCCTTAGTCTATCTTACTTTAAATTTTTACTTTGAAATCTTGCCTAAAATCAAACGGCGAACCTTAGGTGCTCCCAGACCGGGCTCACCGATAATCTAGGACAACTTAGAGTCTGTATTATTTGTTTCTCTGCATCTCATCGGTCAGTTCATTGACAACACTGCTCGTTTCAGCACTCTTTCCGAAGCTCTATTCAATCAGTGTGCCCAGTCTGGGCACACCCACAGAATTAAAAGATAAGTGCTATCTTCACAAAATTTTACTTGTGTACTCCTCTAGGCCTAATTAGACTGCCTACCTTTTTTTTTTTTTTTTTTTAAATAAAAACTCCCAACTTTAAAAGGTAGCGTGCCGGAAAGGGTTAATAAGAATATATTAAGTTCAAAGTTCATCTTCAGTATGCGAAATATTTTCAGTCTATTTTAGAATAAAAAACTAAATAATTTATTTGATTATAATACAACGCTCTGCATCTGGCAGGACTGTCTGCTTGTTTTGAACATGGATGTATGTGCTATTTTGTGTATGTGGTGTATGTGTGGAGGGGGGGAGAAAGACGATCAACAACAATTTTCTAAGAAGTTCATCACCATATAAGGCCCTGAAATGTTAAAATCAGCAACTCAAGAAGTAAATTTCTTAACTTCACACCAGTTACAACATGAAGGCATGCATCAGTGAAGAAGGATGTGTTATTTGACTATGGCAAAGCACACGAGGATTATATGCCAAAGGTGGATGACTTCGTAGAGGACTTTATAAGGAAAACTAGCTCGTATTCACGTTACATATAAAGAAAAGCACGAAAAACAACCATCTGGTCAGGCCATTCCGCCTGGGCTTGAACCCAGATCGAATTACCAATATTGAGCAGTCTTAACCACTCGGCCACTGGTTTAGCGCGCAATGAGGAAATAAGAAATTCTTTATAACAGTTCTTTCATTAAGTAATTGACTTATCAGAGAATTTGAGTTTCAGTAAATACAAAATATTTAATTCTCAGAATATTAATTCTTTATCTCAACAACGTACACATGGGCATGCATTAATCTAAAAAATCATCGGTTTGCTTTTATTAATTTCTAATGCGATGAGTCGGTTTCGTTCCCTTTTTATTTTTTATTTAGTTAA